ATATGAATGAGGTGGATGTATAGAAAGGAATTTTTTTTTTTTTTTTTTTTTTTTTTTTAAATATTTTAAAAATCTATTCTCCTTGTTCATTTGAAAATAAATTGGAAACTTATTTCTCATTAGTTTTCAGTTCATATATTTCTGATAGTTTCATTGTTGTCCTAAACTTCTAATGCAGTGGGTGAGGACTTAAAAATAACAGCTGAATCTATAGAAACATGTTTTACAATTTGAGAAGTATAATGAAAGTTGATATTTAAAAAGTCCTGACATACAATCTGTCCTGAGATTACCACTTTATTTTTTTTCAAACTTGTTTGTATTTGAAAAGTACCAAATTTCCTCATGTGGTTGTGTCTCTACTTTTGACTTATAATTTTTTTTTTTTTTTTTAATAATCAATAATAATAAAAAAAATAATATATATAAAATTCAGTAAAATAAAAATAATAGTAATCTTTTACCTGTGGCATGCAGGCTAAATTTTTAAAACTTTGGTTAAAAAATAGCATCTTTGATGCTGAAAAATATGTTATACTTGCTTACTACATTCTCTGAGTAAATATTTATGAAATCATATTTTATACGCATTTCTGTTTTGATGCTTTTAAAGACAATAGAAAAGGTTCAGCTTTTTTTTATATTCCTTGTTTTTGGTTTTGTTAAGATATAAAATGAGCACATACTTACATTTTGGTATTATTCTTTAATATAGAAGTAAATTGTTTTTGTTAAATTCCTTTTAAGTTAAATAAAGAAAAATGTATGTACCAACAAATTATTTGTATTATGTCATGTGTTTATAGTATAAAATTTTTATCAAACAATCTGAGAATACATAGAATGAGATTTCAATATGCTTTGTTTGATAATGATCAATATCTGATTAGGGTTCATAAGAGAACATTACAAAATACTAATATTTTAGTGTGTTTTATTCATTCAGTCATGTAATCTTGAAGCTACATTAATCACCATGAATTTATCCAAACAAATTAGAATTTTTAGTCTCAGTCAGGTCAAAATTGACCTGTCAGATAAAGTTAATTATAAATCAGATAAGCTTATTAAATTAGGTGTTTTTTGGGGGTTTTTTTTTTGTTTTTGTTTTTTAACATTAAGAAAATTTTGTGATAAGGAAAAGTAATCCAAAGTTGCAATATCTGGTGAATATGGTGGATGAGTGAAAACTTTCCAAATTGTAACAATTTTTGCCTGTTATCAAAGAAATAGGCAGTCTAATGTTATCCTGATGGAATATTACACCCTTTCTATTAACTAATTCTGGACACTTTTTGTCCCTTGTTGCCTTTACTTGTGAGCAATACCTGTCTGAATATATTGCCTTGCTCTCCAAAAGCAACCCTGTGTAGAGAACTTTATAATCTTGCCATATACACAACATAACCTACTTTGAATGAAGACTAACTTTTGGTACACAGTAAATTCATAGTGGTTTATTTCACTGGCATTACAATCTCTTACATTCCACCTTGTAAAGTATTCATTTTCATTGTCTGTCAAAATTTTTCAAAAGTGAATATTTTCATTACATTTTTTTTCCACTTATATAGTAGTCATACATCAAAGTGACTGAGTTGATGTAAATGATTTTAACATTTGATTTGAATATTTCAAGTATTATGATTATGTTTCTTCCTTAGTTAGCATGTACATTATGCCCTATCATTACCTCAGATGAATAATGGACTCTTCCATTTTGATTGCAAGGAAAGACTGAAGAAAAAGATATATCAGAGATGCTGTTTGGTTTTAGTAAGAAAAAGAAAGGGAACATTGAAGAGACAATAACACTCTCATACAGTTAATGTCTGCTTCAGTGAAATGGAAAACCATGTCAATTTTTAATTTTTTTCATTTATACCCACTACTTTAAATAATGACCTGCATTCATACTTATGATTGCTATTGCAATATTTTGCTAAAACTAAACTCACATATTTAATGATGCAATAGAGGAATTTCCACAGATATTTTGTAATTGTGGATCTCACAAGGAGCTTATTTAATCATTAAATTAAGAATTATGATTCATAGGAAAATCATGAAATTTTCATGGATACTATTAGTGTTGATTATTCTCAAGTAATTTATTAATTTGATCACTATTAACCTTATCTAGTCTATTTGACCATGAAGCATCCGTCAAGATATCCCCAGCATAAAACTTTGCAAACTACTTTTGACATGTTTAATAATTCACAAAACCTTATCCATCAAATATGCTGAAAAATTATTTATTTCTTCCATTTTCAATGTGTGAATCAAATGTAAATATAACAATTCTGATAAAATTTTGAAAAGATTTATGATAAAGTAAGTTGTCACAATACATTAAAATGTAATCATTTTAATGAAATTAAACTTAATGCCATCAAAAGATGAAAACACTTTTTGATCAACCCAATATAAAGGTTAAAATTTGCTTAAAAAATGTTGATACACATAGGCTATATAATATTGATCAATGTTGTGCCTTCATTTTATGTGAATACAGCCATATACTAATGCTTAGTCATTAATTCTGCATTATGCTAATTTTATATTCATTAAAACAGGAAATCATCAAAATGTAACATTGTTAAAAGAAATATACAAGCAACTGAAACAAGTAAACATAGCCAATAACAAAGATCCAGGATCAGTGAAAAGAATAGTTAATTCAGTGAATAGCTTTACAATTTGTAAAAGGTGAATGAAAGAAACTCATGAAAAGTTTTGTATCTAATCATATTCTTCCTCCATGAACTTATTACTCTTTTCAATTCTTTACACTGAATTTGAGCTTTCTCTAATGTTTTTTACAAGAATTATTTTTAAGTAATTGTATAATTTTTTCTCTTCTTAATCTATTGAGAAAATATGGAAGACATCTAACATTATTTTATTGAATCTGCTTTACCAAAAAAAATCTTCAAGATCATGCTTAAAAATTATAATTTTATTCAGACTAATATTTACTTTTCATAAAGTATTTTATGATGCTATAGTTTCTTTATCTATCATATGTTAAGAAATGAAAATATGCAATATTTTGTATTAACTACTTTGGTTTCACCTTAGAAAAATATAGTTACCTAATAATTTTGCAGATATCTTTCATAATGTATAGAGTTAGTGGTGACATGTGTGAGGTTATTTTATGACAATGTTGTTTCACACCATATACCAATATGGCCTTGTGTAAGGGTTGAAAGAAAATCAACAGCAAATTAATACAAGCAGAACTAAATCTATATAACACAGTATCTATAGAGAAGGATAAAGTGATAAGTCAGGAGTTAAACAATAAATGTCCTGGTGGTGTATATATATATATATACACATATATATATATATATATATATATATATATTATAAATTGATTTATTTAAAATATGTTTACCGCTACACAGTTCTAACCATGTTTCAAACATGGAAGCTTCCATTTTTGAAACATGGTTAGAACTGTGTTAAAAAAAAAACACCGGATTATATATCTTACTGTTCTTTCTTTTTATTTATATATATATATATATATATATTGTGTGTGTGTCTGTCTATGTGGGACTGTTTCAGTTGCATATAGGTGTCATATTTAGGCTCTCAGTATCTTAGAATGGCTGCTGCATTGGAGAATTGATAAAATTAATTCTGATTTGATTTGACTGTCTATCTCCATATACACTGCATGCCAAATTATTATCGAGATAACTTTTTTTAATATATTTCAAAAACAGTCCAATCAATTCACACAAAATTTTCACACAATGTTGGTAACACTGAGCTGTGCAATCCCTGAAATTTTCATACTGATCTGCGCAATGTAAACAAACTGGCGCCATATTTGTTATCAGCACGGTGATTTGAGCATGCCAAATTATTAGAAAAGTATAAGAATTTAGTGAAAAGATGGGCTGTAAAAGCAGTTTAAGTGATGCTGAAAAGAAAACTAATATCTCAGAACTCTCAAAAGGTAAATCTACCCTAGAAATTTTTAAAATGGTAGGGAAATTGTCATCAAACAGTGAAAAATTCACCGCCGACCCTACACAAGTACGCAAAAGGGAATATAAAGATAACCCAAGGGTTATTCCACGTCGTCTCATGTCACGACTTAAACGAGAGGCCACGAAGAACACTGGACTTACAAGACTACTGAATATTTGAAAACAATTAGGCTTCGATGGACCTTGAAAAATGAAGTGGCCAGCAAATTCTCCAGATTCAAACCCAATCGAAAACCTTTGGAGCATCACATTCAAGACTGTACACCAATGGATGACAATTCAGGAACAACGCTGAGTTTTGGGAAACAATTCTTGAGATATCTTGATGGGCATTACAGCAGATGACATCCTACAATTAACAAATTCTATGGATCGTCGACTTTTTCAAGTAATTTCAAAACAGGGAAAGCATATTCCCTATTAATTTGTTTAAAACTGTGTCTTTGTTTGTATCTGTTATTATTTGTTTGATTATCTTATTTATTAGCTTATTTTGATCATAAACATTCACGTTCAACTAAACCTTTCTAATAATTTGGCATGCTCAAATCACCGTGCTGATAAAAAATATGGCACCAGTTTGTTTACATTGCGCAGATCAGTACAAGAATTTCAGTGATTGTGCAACTCAGTGTTGCCAACATTGTGTGAAAATTTTGTGTGAATTGATTTGACGGTTTTTGAAATATTAGAAAAAAAGTTATCTCGATAATAATTTGGCATGCAGTGTATATGTATGCTGGCAAAACAGATCCGTTTAGAAATTGCCACTTGGCATTTTAGTATGCAAATTATGAGTCCTTGTCAGGAGTATTTCTCAGACTGTGTTGTTATATCCTTGTTGGAACTGTTGCTGATTGGTTTAGAGATACCAAAACTTTCATCTGTTTGTTACTATTTATTTATTTATTATTTTCTATCACTACAAATGTCTTTAAAAAATACTGAAAACATTCATGCCTAAATTTAAATTTTTTTTTTTTTTAACAGTCCCTTATTTGTAACATGGAAGATTGGCAGGGATCGACGCCTTCGTGGCTGTATTGGAACATTTTCTGCTATGAATCTTCATAGTGGTCTCAGGGAATATGCAGTAACTAGGTAAGAAAAGTTACTTTTTATTTTATATATATATATTATATATATATATATATATATATATATATAAACTTGGGAAAATGAGGTGAATAAATAAATTTTGTGCCAGCTATCCTGCTGACTACTGAAAGCAATTAAAAAAAAAAAAAAAAATGAATCCTTGTTTACACATTATTTATTAATGTTATCATTCTGATATTAGTATTAGACTATTAGAGATCAGGTAGTGTAGGATTTTGATGGTACATAGTATTAGCTTTCCTCAATGACTACCTCTTCTATTGATTTATTCATTTTAGTAATATTAATGTTGAAGTTTATTAGGTTGATTCATCTCTTGATTTAAAAAAACAAAATTTCTCATTGAAAAAAAAAATAGAAGCATCAAATGAGCTCTACAAACAGAAATGGGGCCCTCTCCCCTCATATAACTCCATTCATTACCTAAATACTCTGAAATGAAATTTAGCATTTTTCCATGCAAAAATTATAACTTAAAAAATTGTTTATTGAAACATTTATTCAATTTAGTTGTCAAAGCTGTCTTTAGTTTGTTTTTCAAAACCCTTAAATTAGAGAGTTGTTAAATATATCTAAGCAGCCTTAGCAAAAATTTTGTGCACTTTCTTTGTTTCTCCCAAATTATGGTCCCGGTCTTCATTGTTTTGCTTTATAATTATCTGAATACATATCCTGCTAACTGCCTCTTTTTTTTTTTTGTATTTGCTCTAGAAAAATACATGTTTTATCAGTTTTAATATTAAAGTGACTAAAACATAAGCTTTAGTTTTGTCTTCTTTAATGCCACGTCCCTTCAGGATGTAGGTGATCACAATTCTCCATAAATTCTCTTTCTTATTTTTTTATTTACCATGCATTCTTGGAAAGATACTAGAATTGCTTCCCTTTTAATTATCATTCCCATTGTATTCCAAATTTATTTTAAATCAATTTCATTAGAAATATGATGTCTGACATTCATATCTGAGTATTGAAATTAAATATGCTGTGCTCCTCAGGGAAATTATCCAATTTTTAACTTCTAACTGTATATATTAGATGTTTTCTTTTGTGTTAAATTTGAATAAACAGATTAAGAGAGAATTTATTCTATATCCCATCTGCAACACTGTCTTGTTGCTGCTTCACCTGTCTTCACCTGTTTTGTTGATCTGTTCCCTATCACAGTGCTACCAAAAATGTTTTTAAAAATTATTAATCTATGTAGCCTGGTTGACAGCATTTCAGGAGGAAAATTATTCTAACAGTAATTTGTAGTAATTTAGAGACCTTAGACTTAGCAGTGTCTATCTTGTCTGTGAATTTGTTGGTGGCGGCAGCAGCAGTAGGAGGGAGGATTAAACCTGAACTTCGACTACCTTGTCATCTGGTATCTCCTGCTCAGCTAAGTGCTGGCTGATTTATATGAGAAATTTATGAACTTCTGACATTGATTTACAGCATGTTTTTTGATAAGATATTCCTGACCTTTCTTTGTTTAAAAAAAACATATTGCTTTTTATAGAATGTGCTCAATCCAAGAACCTAATATTGAATTTGGTAGTGATATAATGATAAAACATTTGTGGCGTTTGATATTATTTTAAATAAACTTTAAGAATTTTTCTTTGGAATTTGAAAAAATGTTAGAAGACCATAAATCTTGTCATACTGAGTAGGCTTACTAAATCTTAATGAATTCTACTTGGTTTATTTCAGGTTCAAATGTTCCGAGAGATTTCTTCAAATTCATTTCATGGCATCTAATTATTATTTTTAATCCTTTCCTTATTCTCTTTGATGCTTAATTAGTGTCCCTGAATTTTTTCATAGGTTAATCATAATTATTTTTTTGCTTCAAATTGTTATTAGGCATTCTCATGCATTAAAATATTGAACCATGGTTATCACCATTCTATTCCTTCTTGCAGCAAAACATTGAATCAGAGTTACTACCATGTTATATTCCCTCATGCAGTATGACATTGAATGAAGGGTTACCACCCTGTTACAACTCTTTGACATCTGTTTATAGAAATGCATTGTGTTGCTTAAACTATAGGTTTATAAGAGCTTATAAAAGGACTTTTGTTTCTCAATATGAAAAAGAAAATGATTCACCTAGTCACAAATTTCTCTCAAAATAATGTGCATAAGATGTATGCATGTTGATTTTGGTTCTGTTTTTCTCAAGAGATAATTCTGGAAGGAGTGCAGATCTTTTGCATTTAATTTTCCATTATTCAGTTATATCTTGATAATTTAAAATGTTACCAAAGTAACTAATAACTTTAACATTTTTATTTACAGTAAGATTACTTTAAAAATATTGAAACTAGAAAACAATGTATCACTGAATTAAGTTTAAAAAATGATCTTATATGAAACTTCATTTGAACACTTTTAATTTCATATTAAAAATTTCAATGAAAGCAGAGACTGTACCTGTGAACTATTTGTAAATGAAAACATTAAACAAGTTTGATAATAGACCCACTCTACTAGCAATACAAGCAGTAACAATAAATGTAAGAAAAGTCAGTGTATTTATGAAGTATATGCATTTATATTAGAACAAAATTTTGACATAATCTGATTTGTAAATTGAAATAAGAGCTTCAGTTTCATTCATTTCAATTTGTAATTATCTTCTTACCTTTCAGCAAGGTGAATTTTGATCTGAAATTTAATAGTGTTCAAGCTACATACTAAATTAAATGCATTAGAAAGGAAGTAGATCACAATAAAAACTATTTGTTGTGCTTTTTATGTATATTTTTCTAATCATTAAGCAGTAGATGTACCTACGTAATTAGTTTAATGCATTAAAACATTTCACAAATACTTGGGATGCAATACTTTGGAGTGAAGGTATTCCAAAAAATTATATAAATGGATTTTCAAAGTTTTAGGGTTTTTCAAATTATTTAATGAATTAAGCTTTATTCTAATCATAATCTCCATTTCTTTTTAACTTTATTTTTTAAATATAGTAATTAGACTCATGATTTAACTTTTTTTCTTTCTGTTTTCAAGTATATTTATTACATCAAAAAGTTGAATTATATTAATACAAAATAGTTTTTCACTGCTGTATTTGTGAAATATAATAAATTTAGGAGAGGATTTATTTTATCTTTTACTAAATTCATCATATGTATATGCAAAATATAAAATGAAAAATTGGTTTGCTCAAATTGATTCAATGATCAAAACTTGATTTTCAATAAAGACTCTTACAATAATTTATATCTTTAAAATATTGAAACACAATCAAAATAATCTACCAATGATATCACTGTTAATTTTGCCGGAAAGATGTTGTTGCTATAAAATATATATAAAGTATATACACACACACACACACACACATTTTAAGCTTTTCACCTCAAGCAAGGCAGGAATGCCACTAGCATGCAGGGGGCTATGGAGAGTGAAAATGAGAGAAAAGACTGGGTATAGTGGGGATTGAGAAAAGGATAAAAGATGAACATGGTTCAAGTCAACAGAAGATGGCAGTTAACACTGCATTTAAATTTTTGAAGGTCATAGTTATCAGGAAAGCAAGTAAGAGGAAGGGAGTTCCACAGTCAGGAAGCAAGAGAAAAACTGTTGGAATAGAAGTGGTAATTACATTTCAACAGTAAAAGAGTGGGACCTAGATGTCAATCTAGTAGCGTGCTTAAGTTCATGTAGTCAGAGCACCAGGGAAAAAGGCTCATCAGAGCAGTTGCCATGAAAATATTTCTAGAAAAGACAGAAGGAAACTACATCACATCTGTGAGAAAGTGACAAAAGTTAAGACGCCAGGTCAGGATCAATTACACTGCAGATCCTTCTTTAGATTTTGTCAAGAACCTAGAGATGAACAGCAGATATGGCAACAGTATTCAATACACAGATGAATGGCAGATTTGTAGAAGTGTAAGATGGACTCTGACAAGAAAAACTTTCTGGCACGACACAGTGAACCAACTTTCCTTGTAGTAGATGCAGCTATTAATTCAATGTAGTTGTTCCACCTCAAGTCAGTCGAAAACGTGAAGTGAAGAAGGTGCAGTGAGACATTCTCCTGGGGTCAAGCATCAACCATGCTGATGGCGGGTAGGCAAGTTTCTCTGTCGTGGTTAAATGAGAGCAGTTTAGTTTAGAAAGCATTAAAATTTACAAGCCATTTCCTGCCCCAGTTAACCACTGATTGGAGGTTCCTTTTCGAGAGCAGTAGCCAGTTTAACCTTGCCAGTGCTGCCAGATTTACTATTGAGACAGGCGTAATGTCATCAGCATAGATGCCTACTTGGGAACTGATGACATCAGGAAAATCATTGATGAAGATCAGAAACAGTGTAGGACCAATGATAGAACCTTGGGGAACATTCATGTTTGTATGAAAGGAAGTGGAAGAGAGCCCATTCAGAATGACTTTATTTCATGATTTGACAAGAATGATTGAATTAAATCAAATAATTGTCCTGTAATACTGTAGCTCTGAAGTTTACATAGAAGACCAGCATACCAAACACCTTTATATCTAGAGCTACAGCTCTAGCTTCGCCATTATTATCAAGAGTTTGATATACATGTACAGTTATGGCTGTAAGCACATCAGTGGTAGACCAAGCAAAATGGAATCCATATTGTTTGTCAGAGAGTAGATCATTAGAGGTAAAATGCTTAACCACCTTGGCATTGATTAAGGCCTTGAAGACTTTGCCAAAAAGGAGTAGGAGACTGATAGGGTGGTAGTTAGAGGGGTCAGAAGGTTCTCCAGAGTTCATTAAAACAGGGAATACAGATGAGGACTTCCAACAAGCTGAAAAGCAGGAAGCACTGAGGCAACAGTTGTATAGTTTGGAGAGAACTGATGCCAGCTCAGGAGCACATTTTTTTTTTTTTTAGGATGGCGGCTGGTAATCTGTCACCTGCACTTGTCTTATGGGAGTCTAATTTAGAAATGATGTCAGAGACCAGCAAGGGGGTTATGCACATATCACTCAGTAGAG